TTTCAAAGGATGGAAAAACCTGTTTCAAAGGATGGAAAAGAATTCAAAAAAAACCTGCTGATTTATGGGATTTTTTTCGTAAGTATGCCCGCCAATGTCAAATGATTTCTCACCATATGGTACTCATTCCCATCCCCACCATCTTAGTCTAATCTAGATAGTATAGTCTAGACATTGTGGTCTATGTCATTACTCACTCCTGGTGTTTTATGGTGCAAATTGCAGTTAAAAATTGCAGCATAAAAGGTTCACAGGCCCATAAACCAACGCGCAGGCGGATGTATAAGCCAGTCTGGTGGTTATTTCTGACAAAAATCCATGAAATCTCGAGTGCGGCGTGTATGCGCTCTCGGTTCAGTACGTATATGTACATGATTGTATTCTGTGTACGTGCACATGCACGCACGCATGTGCACGTAAACACGCACGCACGCACGCACGTACATGTAGGCCTACGTGCACACGCACGCACGTGTAGGCCTACTTGCACACACACGCACGCACACGTGCACACGCACGCACGCACGTGTACGTGCACATGCATGCACGCAGGGGCCCAGACGCAGGTGTACGTGCACACGCACGCACGCACACGTGCACACGCACGCACGCAGGTGTACGCACACACGCACGCATGCAGGTGTACGCACACACGCACGCACGTGTACGTGCACACCCACGCACGCACGCACGAACGCACGAACGTACGTGTACGTGCACTGCACACGCATGGACGCACGCGCGCACGCACGCACGCACGTGTACGTGTACACAATCGAAGACTGTAGCATTTACAACGACACAGATGCATGCGTATGTGTACTGTGGCGTGCGGTCGAAATACGAAATATTTTGTCACAAATGACCTGACCCGGAAGAATTCGTGGCACAGTTCGCGCATGCGCAGACTCTAACTACGAACTGGCAAAACATCCGGTGTTGCGCTCATGCTGCACTGATTTACTGTAGTGCTGTTTATCTGCATGAATGTGTCTTTCTGTATGAAAGTGTGCTTTTAACCGATGGTGCTGCATTCCAGGCGTTTGATAATCTTTAGTTTTACAAAGAAATGCGCCACTAAATAAATCACAGCCACCGACAAATGACTTTTACTTTATTGAATATAACTGTTGTCAGTGTTGAAATCACTCAAAAAGGTCTTGCAAGGTGCAGTCAGTGAGTCATGGCAGGTGGGATTTTAACATGTCATCACTCTACGTCTAAAACTGATAAACGATAGAACGATAGAAGATATATGATAAAAGTCCAGACATAAATCTTGACCCACAAGTTACTTTCTCGTTTCTCACTACGTCACAGTACGTGGCATGAAGCAGTGACGTGTCGCAGTAGCAGAGCTGTATAGTAGTAGTAGGGCCTACTAGTAGTACTAGTAGTAGTAGGGCCTACTACTAGTACTACTAGTAGGTACTAGTAATATGTAGTATAGTAGGTCTGTACCGTAGTATTTGGACGCTCGCCTGAAACTGGACGCTCCTAAGTGCGCATGCGCGCAGGCGCCTCTTGTTTTGCAAGGTGCGCATGCGCAGTATAGTCATCTGCGCATCTCGACCATCGAAAACGGTCGCAATAAACAAACATGGCGGCCAACCCGGTCACTCATGGAAACATTTGATTGAAACAATTTGAGGGAGGTCGCAAATGTTGAAACAGTTTGCAATGTAGTAAAATAGTAAGACTGTGTTAACTGTTATATGTGTGTCAGGTTACAAGGCGAAACAAAAGAGCATGGCTACTATTTCCTATGGCCCTGCAAAACAAGATTCAAACAGAAAGAAAACAAGAAAAAAACAAAAGAGCATGCGCGCATGCGCACTTAGGAGCGTCCAGTTTCGGGCGAGCGTCCAAATACTACGGTACAGGCTTACTAGTAGTTTACACTCAACTCTCGGCAACTGTATGTTGTAGCAAAAAGTTACAATTTGCCGCATATCGATTGTCCCGATCTCCCCGATGTTCCCGATCGATCTCCCGTGTAGCCTACATGCTACCAGGAGTTAATAATGACAAAGGAGTAAGACACCTTTTTGGTACTGATTTCACTACATTTTTGTCGTACGAGTTCGATGTGAATAAAAATACAAATGTATACAAACATGAGCTTCTTTTGTTCACTGGTCCTTATTCTATCTTCCGGTAGTATTACAAACCGCGTAGCTTCCTTAGTTTTGACATAAATCGTACTTTTGCACGACATGGTTTTCACGTAATTTACCGCCCTGCGGCGATGCCAAGCTGTAAATTCGTACACACAGCTACTTGAAGGAGGCGCGCCAGGGCTTTTTGGCCGTAGCCTAGTCGAGTGCAGAAAATGTGCCTAGAAATTAAGTTACGTTGCACCCATGCTGGGTTTAAAAATCAAAACTATTTTACATTTAAACTATAGTTAGAATGCCTTGTTTTTATGGTTGAATCCCGCAGTTTTTTTAAATAAACGCTGCGCTGGTAAAATATCTGAACTACTTTACCCGCGGAGGAATGAGTTGTATGAATCGTTATGAGTAAACTGACGCGCCAGCCGATTGTAGCTTTTCGCACACGTGTTTTGCATAGCAACCGTTAGCTCTAGTAACTATAGCCCGCGTACAGTTGCTGCTGGCGCTGCCTGAGGCGATCCCTGCCGTGCCTCCTTTAAGTAGTTGTGTCAGCCTGTGTGTGCGAATTTACAGCTTGGCATTGCCGCAAGGCTATATATTTGTATATTTGTATACATTTGTATTTTTATTCACATCGAACTCGTACGACAAAAATGTAGTGAAATCAGTACCAAAGAGGTGTCTTACTCCTTTGTCATTATTAACTCCTGATGCTACCTACATACGGTTTTAGCATTAAAAAGGGGCCAATTTAGTCTTGTTATGGTGATTTAAATGTGAATTATTGGCTGGCTGTCTAAAGAATACAAGTTTATGTTGCAGGCTAGGGTGATTTTTGTGCATAGCACAGACAACATGCAGTGTTGACGGCCACGGTGTAAACATTCGTCTGCAATTTCTGTCATAGGCTGCAGTATAGCTCTGTAGCAGGAGCGAAGAGGCTACACCAGTAGAGCCACGCACATATGGCTATACTATCCAGATAGCATGCAGCCAATGGACCAACATTGGCATTTTGCTGGCATGGTCATGGTTGATAAGTGGTTGGCTGAATGTTGTTGGACCAACTATGGCACGATATTGAGTACACTACTGTAGTAGTAGTAGTAGTAGTAGTAGTAGCAAAAACCCTACAGCATCCCGATCCACACAAAATGGTTTTATTAATATAATATTTGGAGATTACATCACATGGCGAAACATATTTTGAGAGGGGACGAGATGCATGTTAAAAATTGATACAACTACACC